AAAAGCAGAAAAAAAATTTTTTTTAATTAAGCAACAGATTAACTGCAAACCTGTTTGAGTTTGAACAATAAAATCTGAGTTATATTAATATAAGGATAAGAAATAAATTTCAGGATGAACCTTGAAGACATTACGCTGAGTGAAATTAGTCAGTCACAAAAGGAGAAATACTGCATAAAACCATTATTATAAAAGACTAAGAAAAAGAACCCACCCAAAAGGGAGGAAAAAAAAAAAATCTATATATATATAATTGCTGATTACCGGGATGTATGGGATGAGAGGAGGGAAGGAAGGGAGGGGGGAAGAAAAAGTACAGGGTAGGGAATAGACACAGGAGAGCCTGGGTGCTGGGGGAGAAGGGAGGAGGCTGGCAAAAGGTGGAAAGGAATGGAAAAACAAGGCAGATTGGAGAACAGTTAGACAGGTTCACATGGGCTAGGTGGGACAGAGGTAAATGACGATGTATACACAACCTTGGAATAACAGGGCTTCAGGATACAGGGATTGAGGCATGGCTCGAAAGGGTAAAAGTGGGGAATAATGTTAGGATGCTTAGTTGTCTTTTGAATCTTGGTTTCCCTTGTCTACCATTCTAAAACAGACACTTGGGGGATAGGAAGGAGGAATAGCTAGAAATATCACATTAGAAAACATGTAAGCCCGTTTTCAGCCTATAACTGACTGGAATACCTTAAAGGATGCTAGAAATTGCCCAGACGCAAAATTGGCGGGGAGCTATAAAGGCAAGAAGTGACTGGCTTACAAGCTTTCAAGAGGGGGGTGTAGGCATTCCACTGAATGATTTCCAATCTGTTGGGACCGGGCTGACGAAAGGAAATGAGGATAGGAATCTGTGAATACATGCCACCAGGACTGACTATGAGGGTCGGAAATGTAGAGGCAGATTTTTTTTCTTTTTTTGGGCAAAAGGAGACGAGTGATTGATTTTGCATGCCAGGAGCAGAGGTCCCTGGGACCATAAAGTAAGAAGAGCAGAAAGTGTGACCCTACCAAGAGAGGCAGTGAAGCCAGGCGTGGAGACAGAGATGATGACGTGGACAGATGGAGTGGCTGGGGACACAGGACTCAGGGAGAGAGAGGAGCTGTTTGCTGACAGGGGAGCAGACCTGTGGGGTGTATCCTTTGGTTATTTGATGATGCATGGAGGGGATTGTACTCATTACAGCGAAATGAAATATGATAGGATGAATGGGAAGTTGAAGTGGGACAGAGGCAAATACTGATGTATGCACAACCTTGGAACAACAGGGCTCTGGGATACAGAGACTAAGACACGGTTGGAATGGGGAAAAGTGGGGAAATAATGTTAAGATGCTTGGCTGTCTTTTGATTCTTGGTTTCCCTGGCATGGTGGTGGTGGTTATGTGCCATGGAGTCAGAACCGACTCATAGCGACCCTGTACAGGGTTTCCAAGCTGTAAATCTTTACGGGAGCAGAAAGCCTCATCTTTCTCCCGCGGAACAGCTGGTAGTTTCGAACTGCTGACCTTGCGGTTCGCAGCCCGATTTGTAAC